CCCCAAAACCCCAAAACCCCAAAACCCCAAAACCCCACACAACCATTTAGAGAGTGACTGAGAAATAAAGAAGAGAAAGATATGTTAATATAACTGAAGAGTTATCGGGTTTTAAGAAGAGTCAAGATGATGTTTCTTATTTATCTGTTTATTATAGATTAAAGATAATTAAGTAAGAGTTTAATAATATTTAAGACAAACAAATCATCATGATTCCAAATAGAGACAGAAGAATTGAGATTTAAAACCCCACCAATGAGATGCAGCCAATAATCTTTGATGAAATTCATGAGGAAAATATGATTCAATACGACAGTAAGGAATTCTCAGAGCTGCAGAGTTTTGTAAACTTACGGAAGCAGATAACTGAGTAAAATAGTTGGCTAATTTACTCAGTAATGGGAGCCATCTCACTAGCAAGTCATAACTACATTATATCAGTTCAAATGAATATGAAAAACAACTCCTCCTACATCTACTCCGAGTGCTTTTCATTCATTACCTTCCCTCTATGCTATCATGCTTTACAAGCTTACAATACCTGGCAATCTAGGGGCAAATTTTGGACTAAAGATAAGTCTTAACTGACTCTTATATCAAACAGAGAAAAAATTGATATCCATAAAATCATCCTGCTAATATTTAGAGGAATCCTTCAAGTTATGATTCCACTTAACACAGCTCTCATAGCGTTTTATGCTATCAAAGTTGACATGAGTGTAGGAGCAATGTACTCAATTGTGACATTGGCCTCATTCTTTATAGCTTTTACTTTCTATATACTTTATAAAGAAAAATTACTGGTGCGACATATCGTTGGAATGGTACTAATGATATTTGGAGTAATTTCTATAGCTGTTTCAAAGTCAAGGAACCAGGATATGACTATATCACCACAATTAATCATACCTATCATGCTTTGTCTATTATAATGTACATTTTTGACTGTATGTGCTGTTATTCTAAGATAAGTTACAAAGAGAGGATATGATTCCATTCAGTTTTCGCAAGACTCGTTCTTAGTAGCTGGTATTTTTTATCTGATACTGTTTATTTACTCTTAAACTGTATTCCCAGGATCAATTACCACTCAAAAGATTATCATCTTGACTTTAGCTGGAGCATTCTTAATACTTGGAAGTACATTCTAAAACGTGGCATTGAAGTCAGGCAGAGGAGGAGTAGTTATGGCCATTATTTAGTGCTAAAGCTTGTTCTAATTTGTATTCGAGATTTTCCTTTAGTTTAGAGTTCCTAATATTTTTGAAATCACTTCACTCTCACTTTCAACTGTTGGAGTTATTATAGCCTCATTAAAAGATAACTAATGAGATGAATTTACATATGATTGATTACATTACTATTAAAATGAATTATCAGAGTATATATGCAAACTGAAAAAGCTTCAATTTATATTGACTTTTATGCTATTTATTAAGTAATTAAGCATTTTCTTTATCTTCATAATATCTAGCTCTAATGGGGTTTTGGGGTTTTGGGGGTTTGGGG